AAGCTCCGCGCCGACCGTTCCCCCTACTGGGAGTGGGACAAGCTCTGCGCCTGCACCAACACAAACACAGAACTCATCGCAGAAGACTTCAAAGTCGATCTTCGGGGCATTGGTTGGCCTGGCGTTGGCATTTCAGTTGGCTTGAAAATCCTGGGTTCTCGTATTATACTCGTTGCTTTGCTTTAAATATCCTGTTCGGCAGCATGTCTGCATAATTACCCATTGTTTAGCTTACCCAGTCGTTGTAAAGAGATTCTTATTTCGAGCGAGCGTTTACCTTCCTCCGGCAATTTATTAGTGCTATAGAACAGGTTCTCGTGCTAAATTATTAGCTGGCTCCAATCCAGTTAAAGAGAATTACTCGATTAGACAGCTTGCGCACGAGCTTTTGGACCCATTCAATGTGTCTCTGCGGTGCGCACAAATTACAGGCTGAAATCTTCAACCAAACTTGCCGTTGTGCCGAAGTCTCGGAGTTTGAATTCCGATCACTCATGTTGCACTTTTGACTTTCCGCCTCCCATCAAAGTCCCAAATTTGGGAATAATCCTCGGCAAGTCTCGGCAGCGCGCCCGATCACAGTGATGAAATTGCCCCGCCGAGCAAGCGACAAGGTATGGTGCCGCCTCTCCCTCAGTCAGTTGCCTACGGGTGTAATACTCTTTTCTGTGTGTGCTTCACTGCCCCTTTCGTCAGGCGGGAGGCGTGCTAGCGGCGCGCTCCTACTTAGATTGAGATGCTACGCGGAACTTGTGATTTTCAAATTTCATCCGTCGCAGTGCCACATCCGGCTTGCCTGCACTTGCAACATGAAGGTTCACTGAAGTGCACTACCATTCACATATTGCCTTGAACTAGATATTCTGATGTGCGTGCTCTTCCAGCAGTGCAAGGTTTCCCGCAAATTCCTGCTTGCCTTCGATGCCGTGCCGAACCTTGCCGAAGATAATTCCCATATTCGGGAATTTGATCGGAGGCGGAAAGTGCACAAGTCTCATGTTGCTTGGCAGCCATGGCGTGCCGCTGCGGCTGTAGAACGGAAGACGTATCTCTGCACTCGCTATGCTCCGAGCTCTTCCCGCCGCAATCTTCATCGCATGGCTCATAGGTCGGAGCATTGAAAAGTATCTGTCTCTCCGCTCCGCGTCCCGCGCATTCGGGTAATTACAGCAGCACGCGGTGGAAACCCAGTCTGACGCCTTTCTCAGCGTCTGCCCCAATGCTGGCATGCTCTGGCTGCGTCCTCTAGGTCCTTTTTCTACTCTGTCAGCGCAATTTTTTCCGCTCAAGCACCAGATCGGCTCGTATTTCGCGAAATTTGCTCGTTCGTGACTTTGGACGAACCAGGTGTCCTATGTCTCATTTTTGCAGTTTATGCAAGATATGGGAGCACATGCATCAGCTCCGTGATCTTGTGGGGTTCTATTCCTACGCTGTGGCTCTCAGATGCGCAGGCGATCAAGACTGTCGCGACGGAGTCCACGATATTTCGAAAGGACCTCGAAGCAGTAAGTGAGACCCAATTAAAGTTCCGGTTATTACAGTTTGATTCAGACGACATGCAGTATGAGGGAATGAACGTTTACGGCCCCCATTTGGTAGCCACAGAAGGCGCCGATTGGAAAAGGCACAGGAGGGTCGCGAATCCTGCATTCGACGAGGTGAACTTCAATTGTCAACGTCATTCCACTGCTGACAATGGGCTAGGCAAATAACGCCTTCGTCTGGATGGAGACCGTGCGCGTGGTCAACGAGTGGTTTGCAGAAATGGACGGCCCAAAATTTAAAGCCAGCTTGGACTCTGTTATCACCATAAACGCTGATGAGGACTTCGTCCGGGTAGGATTTCTGCATTTTGGAGAATACCACTAACGAGACAAGGTTACCCTCCTTGTGTTTGCATCCGCGGCCTTCGGCTATCGCTTATCCTGGCAGGAGGACTCCTCCGCAAAGCCTCCAGGACACAAAGTCGCGTTCCGTCCAGCGCTGAGCAAGGCCTTGCGCCACCTCATGACCTTCGCGCTCACCCCCAGCTGGATTTACGCGCTTTCTGCCCGCGTGCATCTCCCACTCGTTGGGCACGTTCTCACCGACGCGAGAGACTCGTTCGACGCGCTTCAAGCCCACATGATGGATTTCATCTCGCTGGCCCGTGCATGGGTAGTGGGCGGCAAGATATCTCACATGGACGCAGGTCTCCTTCGGAACTTGGTGGAGGCCAATATGAACGAGGCGGGAGACGTCCATCACAAGAAGCTTACCGACCAGGAGCTGCTGTCGGATGTTTTCGTGTGTATTCTCTTCCGTACTTATGTCTTCGAGTATTCTGAAATTTTTTGAAGGTTTTCTTTCTGGCTGGTCATGGTTCGTTTCAAGGACCCATTCCGCCTGTTACATTGATTGAACATCGTTTAGAAACGTCCGCTCACGCGCTGAGTTTCGCGGTCGCACTTCTTGCACTATACCCCGACATCCAACAGAAGATATATGAAGAGACTCTCCGAATCTGGCCCGAAGGCTGTCCCACCACTGCTTCTCTCTCGGTATGGAGTTCCCGGAATCAACGTACGGTCCTTCATTGATTTTTTTTGTCAGTCGTACAAAGAATGTATGCCTCAATTGGTAAATCAACGATTCCAGCTCTGGGCTTACAATAGAAAGCCTCTACTAACCAAGATCATTTCCCATAGCCATACACACTGGCAGCGTTCCATGAGACCCTCCGGCTCATCCCCGCTGTTCCGCGGCTCAGTAAAGTCGTCCAAGCAGATACTACCTTGACTGCCCATCGCTTTACAACGGGCCCGACAGGTGAAATCCAAAACGTAACGCCGTTTTCCGTCCCAGTCAGGGCAGGGAGTTGGGTGGTCATCGATATTACGGCGCTGCATATGAACCGTGCGTCAATACCATCATATGCAGCCTCAGCCACTCGACGGCTAACAGCTCGCCATCAGCGATATACTGGGGCCAGGACGCAGAAAATTTCAAGCCGGAGCGGTTCATTGATACCGAGACGTATCGGTGGCCTCGGGATGCCTGTCAGTTTAATTTATAAGTTTAATTTCCTACACTCACGTCCTGACCCATCTCCGTCCAGTCTTCGGATTCTCCGGTGGCCCACGTAGCTGTATCGGCCAGCGGTTCGCACTCACCGAGAGTGTGTGCGCGCTCGCGAGTCTGGTGCGCAGCTACAATATTTCCGTGCCCGACCATCTTGCGTCGAAGTCCTTCGAGGAGCAGAAACGGTTGCTGCTGGGGTGGAAACCCTTGATAACATCTACACCAACGAATTGTGTGGTGCGCTTGCGTCGCAGGGCACCTGTCACTTGATTACTTGATTTATGCCCACTTTGTGTTCTGTATTGATATTCATTTCACTCCTTTAGTATTTCCTTTTCTCTTGACGAGGCCCGTCTGAAAATGCAACTTGTCCCCGCCATTTTTATGTCTGGAAGCACGCCCGTCGCTCCGCAACTGCGCTACATGTTTTTCGGGGTGCATGGTGAAGCCCGTATCGACTACACCCTGTACATTAAAATGCTTAAATCCCGGCGGGACGCAGAGAATAGTGCCCTCAAGGCTGCGAGTCTGCGACGATAATCGGGGCCAGATCCTGCGACGCTTCGGGCTCTAGATGCTCTTCGCCTGGACGGATTGGATCTCTTGTTACTGGACGGAAGGGAAGCATTGGGCACACTCGGTGCTTGGAAGTTCAGTGCAGCGGGCACTTAATGCACGTTGGCTTCGCTCGTTCCTCGTTCAAGGTATGGCCTGGCGTTTATCTAATATCTCCACAAACAGCACCTGGAGCCCCATTGAATTACCCCGAAGTATGTGCCATCAATTTGCGTTGACTCAGAATTGAGGAACCCTGACCCTGAAGAACCTTGAGTTTAAGGTTGTGCCGGTGCGATCTCAATCACAATGCCTTCAACGAGCGACTCGGGGGTACTTTCGGCTGTTTTTTTTCACAACACCAAGACAAGCGAAGTACGTGCCAGTGCCCCATTTTGGTGCGGTTTCTAGAGTGATTTTTAATTTAACGATACATCCATCGCACCCTGTACAGGCAACTGTCAGGCAACCAATTCATTGTTGCCGGAACTAAAGATCCGCGTTTTGGCGATCACTATTATGGAGTCGATGTACTGTTGGGGCAGCCGCACTGTTTTAGTCAAATCGCTTTGAAAGGCGGCGCGCACCAGCAGAATGAACGTCCACCGTCGGAGATCAATTGTCTTACGAGAGCTCAACCTCGGCAGGAGCACCATGTCTTTAACATCTAGGGAGGAGCGCCAAAGCCTATAAATGCAGTCCACTTAGACTGTGCCCCGCCAAGCACCTGCATCCCCAACTCGTTTTCGGTAACTATAAATATTCTGCTGCGTTCTTTTCAACTAACTCCCAGTGAACCACAAATCCAATCAAAGTTCATTCAGTCCGATTACAAGCCAAGACCAAGACGCGTCCTTTTCTTAACCGCCGAATTATCTTTTGCAAACATTACGTAGGCCGATCCATAGCTGCAACATCATGAGATTCACCCTCGCTTTCCTCGCCGTCCTCGCTGGCTGCCATCGCACGTGTCCACGCGACGCCGTCCGAGGAGGCTGCCGCCGCCCCCGAGACGTCGAGCTGCACAAGTTTTTCTTCAAGGGGATCAACGATCGAAGGCGCTTCTAGTTCCAAGCGCGATACGAACATAGTACAGTTTAAATTCTTGATGAAGTTAAATGAATTATATGAAGCGGTGGGCTCAGTCGTGAGATTAACTTATCCGAGTCGATCGGTCACAGGTTGGTTGAAAATTTCTGTAAAGCTGTATAACTTGAACCGGCCAAATCAGGAGCTCGAAGATGAATTTTACCTGGACCGCGGCTGCCTATCCCATGCAGTTGTGTTGGATCCAGGATTTTTTTTCAGCTAAGGAAAGCGGAAGGAAGGAAGCGGGGTAAATGTCCCTCTCCCCAACAAAAACAGGAAGAAACGGAGATGGACGGCCTAGCCTTGAATTGAACAAGGTTTCTCCCGCTGAAACATTTGCACCCGTATGCTATTTTAAGACAAGCAGGCGTGTTGCCGCTACACCATCAGACCGATTTCTTCCTTCCATGAAATTCATATATACTGGCATTGGGGTGCCGGTATTTTTTTTGAGGAGAAAAAATCGAATTGAACCTTGAAATGGCTTTGCCTTGAATCGAACAAGGTGTCTCCTGCTGAAATACTAAGGTTAGAAAGGGATTTCAATGACATTATGTAGCGCACTCTAACCACAAAATTCACTTGGGCAGTGTGGCGCCGTTGGCATTTATGAACGACGAGCCGAACTCTGGGTGAGCTCCTGCTGAAATTGATATCAAGCTCTTTATGTTATACACACAGCTGGTATGGACCAAAAAGAAGAGGTGGGATTTAAGGCTTGACGCGTTTGCTCACGTGAGCGCGCAACTGATTCGAGGGCGAAGATTTTTCTCAATTTCTGCGTCTGAAACTCTTGGATCTTGATTGGAACGGGGAGCGTCGTCTTGAATACAAAACTCATATGCGGGCTGCCTAGGCAAACCTCAAGAACATATTAGTAACGTACACTCGCTAGTAGTACTTATCAGTAATTTTCATCGGGGGACATGTCCTCCGCCGAGAAAAGATCGCGGTCGCCACTGATGAGATGGTGGGCTCCACCAAAACATCAGTTCCTCTGCCGAAGGGAAGCAACCTCAACTGCGCTCGTCCCACCGCTCGTACGTGCCCTTGCGCACATCCTCGACATACGCGTCCTCGATGGTCTTGCACAGGGCGTCGAGGTCCGCGAGCGCGGTGATGAGCGCGGAGAGCGAGGAGAGGTTGTCTGTCGCGCCCTCGCCAGTTAGGTGGGTGTCCGCACGATGGGGCAGTTGGGACACACACCGTACATCTGGATGCGGACCTGGATGACGTTCTCCGACGGGTGCGGCGCACTGGAGATTCGATCAGAAGGGAAGGCC